GTATGTATATAGCCCATTTGATCATCCTGTTTCCTTTTTTGTTTTGTGTGTGCCTCACAGACTAGACTACCTAGATAAGAGTAGAAAGTTTGAAGATCGGCTAAAAGAACTCAAGACTGAAATCCATGCTCTCAAACTTGAAGAGAAACATGCTGGGTTTCTGTCTCATTGGAACGTAATCCTTGACTCTTTGGATCATTCATCAGAGAAGACATACAAGGTTCCAGTACAGTCAAGCATTTCTTTCTTAAATCTTTAATAAATGCAAACAAAAAACTCATTTTGTCATTCTCAGGAGTCAATGAGAGGTGTCTCCCTGGACTTGCAAGCCTGGTGTAAAAAAATGGCCTTTCTTTGTAATTTGTCCCTGGATCTATGGCAGAAATATTTGGGACTGTCACAGCGATTCAAATGATTAAGACTTTGGACAATAAAAATGGATAAGTAGGAGGAATTGGGTTTCATTTTTAATCAATGAAATTAATAAATGTAATCAAATAGACTTGTATACTTAATACATTAAAAAAATGTAAAAACCGCTGATGGTATGCACGATATTAGAAAAAGCTTTTCCTCTTTACTGAGAAATTGCCTCTTTTCTCACATAGAAGCAAGCAAACCATCTTAAAAACGAGCCTCCTATCTTAGTCATATACAGATTGACAAAAGATGTTAACAATTAACCAAACTGCTTTGACCCAAAGTACTTTAACTGGGTAACAATAGAAGTTGTTTTTCGTCAGATTAAACTTTTTAAAATTGTCTCTCTTACTCTGTATTATCTAATTGTAGCTTTTCAGGTTCTGCTGCAGGAGGCTTTCTCAGTCCCTGGTACCTGATCTCTGAAGCAAGAATGACCAGGCGCTGAACTTGATAGTCTTGTGTATTTTAGCAGGAATACCGGAAAGGGATCAAAGCAAGACAGAACCTGGGTTGCACCCCCTCCTGTTTGCGTGTGCCCCTTTTCTTATTTCCTTTGTTCTTAATCTTAAGCAAAAATCCCCTAAGCTCTGGGAGATCTCCACAAGTTCTGTTTATCTTCTTGCTACCACTAAACCATTTTCTGGTTTAGAAATTCTTTTTCTTTGTTATGTTTTAATCTCTCTAAGGCAGTGTTGTCCAAACTTGGCCACTTTAAGATGAGTGGACTTCAACTCCCAGAATTCCCCAGCCAGCCATGCTGGCTGGGGAATTCTGGGAGTTGAAG